TTGATGCACCGATCCCTGCTCTCCATCAGAGCAGACACTGTCCCTGCCCTCACCTCCTAAACCAGGGGCTGCAAATAGCCAAGTTATCCCTGTGCCATTCCCAAAACCAACCAGCCCAATCGCTTCCTCTGGGCACCAGCTCCACAGCCACCCCATCTGGGGACAAAAGCAACTGGAGAGCTCGGAGCTCACACGCTTCTTCCAGACACCCCGGTGTGTGTTTAGGGACAGCCACCACCTCAGCAGAGAGCACAGGTCCAGCCCATGCCAATGGCAGTCCCTTTTCCCTGCTAAACCATGGGGGAAGAGCCAGCACGTCAGGAACTGTTGCGTGACCACTGACTACGTGTGATGCTGATGCACACAACCACACACCAGCTGAGTCATCTCCCAGCTGCTCCTTACCACCGATCCCGACCGGAGCCGCTCACCGCAGCCCTGGACTATTTTTAGCCTCCACATCATTACTGATGGATGTCTCAGAGTACAGCCTGGCTGAGCATTGCAGCTGACACATGTAACCTATGTCCCTCCTCCACATCCCTGGCTCCTAGTCCATCGAATGAGACCTCTTCCTACACCTTTGGGAGGGTGAGGTGGCACATGGCTACCTACAGTCACCACTGGGAAGCAGGACCACAGCATGAGCAGGGATCAGACCCCTGCCACAGCTCACACCACCTCCCTCCCCATCTGCCTATAGCACCCAGTGCCTCCAGCTCTGCGTGAGCCTTCCTGGCATAAGAGGGATGGAGCTGTCAGAGGAGTCGTAGCACAAGGACTCACTAGCCACAGAAAGCCAGCACAACGGTGATAATGATGCTGCAAGCTCCTGTTTGGGGCTGATGCCCTTAAGGAAGACATGGAGGCATGCAAAGTGCCCCTGCATCCCATCTAGCCTGGGGGAAAGTGACTGGGGGCAAGGAGGCAACATCTTACCTTCCCCTTCTCTAGACCATTCCCTTTTCACAGTCTTCCCCCAGGAAAACCCACTGTGTGTGCTCCATTGATGGGACAGGATCATCACACACAGATTTCAGTTACATCCTCTCTGCTGTGCAGACACGCTTTCCTAACCTGGCTGCTATTCCCTCAGCGACCACATCCCTCCCACATCGGAATTCAACACAAAGGCATCCAAAAGCCTGGGGGGGTGCAAAATCCATCCACACCAGGGACCAAATGCTCACAAGGCATCAC